GCCATTCGAAAAGGCCTAGTGCACAGAGAAATGGTGACACCTTCCGTGCTCGTAAAGGCATCATTATGACCCCGAAGCCGCTCACGACATCAAGCACGCGGGCCCACAGGTAGCGCTCGAGGCCTGTCAGCAGGTCATCGACTAGCGGCATCGTATAATCCATGATAACGGTGATAGCGTTCACCACCTTGCAATCAAAGCAGAGCCGTATGTCCAGCTCAGTCTCTTTTATCACAATCACTAAGCGATGCTCATGGACTATCCGTGAAAACAATTAGACCAGCTCTCAGCAAGGCTCTCAGCAATTTGTACATCTTGCCAAGATATCGGAGCGGCACTCGTCGGTCCCGCCGTTTAATCGGCGTGTGCCCCTGTGTGTAAACATCACACACAACTCCATACGCTGATAGAGGTAACGCGTTTCCACTAGCAATCCGAATGTGCTCGCGGTACTTTAACGTTGGAACCAGACGCTCTTGACGATCCGACGACAGACTGGGCTCTTCCATATTTGACATGTTCTAATCAATAGTTGTGTTGGGCTCGTCCGATGGATTTCGAAGGAGAACCAACCCCCTTGCATAGTCTTCCAAACCGATTTTAGTAGCCAGAGGGTCAAAGAAGTCAGCTTATATGTCTTTTGTGGCTTCATTCCCTTCAGTCGTCAGCACGCGGGGCACAGAAACGTATGTTTCGTCCAAAGTCACACTCACGTTTTTTTGCACAATCTTCGCCTATCGTTCTGCACACGCAACTCGGGTCGTCCCATAACCTACCGAGTCCTCTCGAGACCTGGTCATCCCTCTTTGAGGATCTGGAAAATCAGGTCGCTCCACCGCGAGTGGTTGAGTAGCCAACCACTGCTCGTAAATGTCTCGCTCATTGTCGAACAGCTCTCGATCGCGACATCCTTCGTACGCGAGTATCTGCCAGTCCCAATACTTCTGAGAATCCAGCCGCACATAACCTTTCCACGGGGAAAATCTCCGGCTGGTATCAGCACAGCAACCAAATCATGAGCCGGCAAATACACCGTTTGGTCCGACACATTGGTCAGCCGAAAGCGTTGAGACTGTCCTCCTCGAAACCTCGTTACCGATGGGATTAGCTTCTCTGTTCGTCGTACCCATTGTATATGTTCTTCCAGCACGACTTGCTAGTCGGTACGCTTGCCACTCATGGTCTTGTATAGTTAAACGCTCGGGCGGCCCGGCGTTAACAAGAGAGTCGTATTCTTCACTGTCGAACATATTCTTGGTCTTTGTCAGCGGAATTCGTTTGGATGTTAAGCAGCGCCGTGGAGCAGATACAGCCGAATGCGGACGGGGATGTTCAAGCACCACGTCAACGTCAGCACTATGTGCCATCATCCACATTTCGAACTCGTAGACCATTTCCCATTCGAGCGTGATCTCTTCACGCGTGCTCGTCGTGTCGTCGACACCTCGCCTTCTCTATTTTCCTTGTATGTCGATACGACGTCCATGGTCGGGTACATCACGGACTCGTAGATTCTTAGCGAAGGTGTCGGTGATGACACTGATGTTAGCTCCAGCGTCGACGAGAAACCTCGTCCGCCTGTCATTCACGGCGCCCTGCACCAGGGCCCGCATCCATATTTGTCGGTCGAGCTTCTTGGCCGACCGCCATCCCTGTATCTCTCCAGGGTTTAACCTCATCGCCTTGGAGTGACCCTTGGCTTCGTCCAGCGCTTCGCTCGACACCACATCGAACGAATCCACGGTAGTGTCTGCATCATCTTCAGCACACTCCAAACATCTTCCACACCTCCACCGAGGATTGAAACCTCTCCTTTTCACATACCATCGCGTCCACACTTGTTACATAATCAATGGGCCATTCCCTCTGCCCCATGAAAGCAAAGATACACTTTGCTTCCAATGAAGGCTCGGCAAACTGTAGCAGCTCAATAAGAACCAATCCAGTTGTAGCTAGCGGGCTGCCTAGTTTCAATGGTGTTCTTGGACAACGGCCTTGAGGTCAGGAGGTAGCTCCTCCTTTGTGCCTTTTGTACGCACGAATTGGGCCATATACTGGAGGTTGCGGAAGCGTTCGCACTGTCCAGCGTCATGAACTTGGTTGTAGAGCTTGCACCGCTTGTTGGAGTAGTGAGCGGAGCTGCTATTCTACCGCACGCAGCACATTGCCCATATTAGAGGCGTCGCGTGTCCCGAGTGAAGTCGCGTCTCCCTCATGTGTCTTGATCGAAGCCTCACTCGCCTTCACCGCGATCTCGATTGCAGCCTCGTTCTCGATCTGGGGTGACTCCCCGTGATTGACGGCTGTCCGAACGGGCGTACGTCCCTTCAGCGGCAGCACGACGCTCAATCACGCTGGCAGCAGCGAAGTGCTTGTCTTCGGCACCATGGAAACTGTCGTTGACGGCATCATCATACTGATAATCATTATATCATCATCGTGACCGCAACGTTCTTCATCCGAACGCTCGGTACCACCGTGTTTGCTTCGCGATCCTCCAATTCAACTAGTAGATCATCTAGCGAAGCTTCGGCGAGCGTAACCCTTGACCTGTTGCGGCAGTCGTCACCAAACTCGTGACGGTCACATCATGGATCTCCGTTGGCTCGTCCCGACGCGAATCGCGGGCGCGCTAGCTCCGTGAAGATCCATCACGCTTGGACATGTGCTCTTTACCTTTGAGAATGCTCTCAATGATCTCCTCGAGTTCATGACTGTCAGCCACGCGGTTTTGGTAGAGACTCTCTGTCATCGCGTCGTCTCCTCACGTCACGACATTTTGTTGGACGTGCTCTTTCGCGTCACGTCTGCCCTTCTCAAACTGAAGACGAGCACTCCGGGCGTAGCCGTTTAGTCGATTCAGGTAGCCGCCGAGATGCTCGTTTCGGTCGCGCTTGACCGAGTAATAGCGAGACAATGCCGTCTGAGTAAACTGTGAGCAACTCTAACGGATAAGCCCTGGCTCAGCAGTCTCCATTCGCGCTTCGTCTTCTTCGGAGGTTGACGGAACCAATGAATAACACCGTCCCGAAGACTAAGTTCGAGCAGAATGCACTTCTTCTCGTCTTCGGTATGCGTACTCGTCATTTCGTACACAAAAGTGCGAAGCCACTGCATCGAATTTTCGCTCTTGTTTCGCGAGCCTGATAACGGCTTGATGCGATTTAACGGGCGGTGTAAGCCCGTTTTAATCCGCGGAGTAGGGTCCATGTCCTTCAGCACGGCCATCTCCGTAAGCTGTCGTATCAACTCGGATTGGAGATCCTCGTCTTCGTAAACAGAGGCCAGCAAATCGTGGTCACTACTACGATGAATCGTCGGTAGTAGTTTGACGTCGTCCACAGCGTCGCCCCGAAACTTGTGCACCACCTTGACGGCCTTTTTACCCCCGTTATCAGTGATCATACGTCACGTACGACTCTCCGAGCGTGGTGTCACCATGTGTGAGTCTGAAAAGTACGGGGCAGCTTCGATAGTGTCGAAAGCACCGCGGACAACCCAAACCTTAGTTGATGATGGACGAGGGAGTTGATTTGGTGTCCGCGGAAGCGGAACCTTGGACGGATCTTCGTCTTGAACCGTAGGTCGACTCACAAGTTGTTTCCCCGAGTTAATTCCGATCGCTCCAAAGGCCTTCCAACGTTTCTTTTTTCGCTTCTGCTGAGCGGCTCCAGCTTCATTTGATCTCCAATCTTGGAGATATATTGCCGATGGGTACGTCTTATTTTCACACCCCCGTGACATCAATAGCGAGACCGAAGCCTCAGCGAACTGAGCAGACAGGGTACTAAAGTTTGTTGGCGAGCGCCGGCCAGTCGACAAGTCTCTTAAGCATTGGTATGAACAGTTGCATCCACTCGTCATTTAAACTGCCGCCGAGCCTTCGCAAAAATGGCCTCCTACTGACACCGAGCGTTCGTGCCGTGGCTCGCCAGTATAGTGGCACTGAATGTAAATCCGGCCAGTCTCATCATTCCGATTTGGACGGCCGCATCACTGCCATTATGGAGCACGAACGAACGCTCGATAGTGGCTCCTCTGAGTATCTTGCACATCGAAGTCACCCCTTGTCACCTGTCCGTGCGCTCGTAGCTTATACGGCTTGAGCATGGCATGCCTAACGTTTCTGCATTTTTACGAGAAGCACTACACCAGAACCGCACGATTCTCAACAGGGCTTCGTGCATGGTGTTTGGCTCAGGATTATTACTGCGTTTCTGGGGTGATGCAGCTGTTTTCGCTACGTACGTTTTGAGCCGAATTTCGTCACATGCCAGTTAGGATCGAATGTCACCACTCGAGGTGTTGACTGTCCAAGCGCCAAATCTTCGTGATATCGTTGTGTTCGAATTCAAGTGCGCGGTGTTTCGTGGCCCGAGCAAGCACGCTATGAAGAAGGGGGTGCATGAGGGCGTCATTGTCGACAAGAACGAGTCGACCAAGGTGTACAGGCTGTATTTGCCTTCGGAAAAAGGTCGTTGTCACGCGCCATTTACAGAACATTCGCGTGTTGAAGGAGATACCCAACGGGAAGACACAGACCGTTGAAGCGACTACGACGACGACGCCAGCGACAGCGCGTTCCACACCGCGCAGATCTCGTCGCTCCCGCCGCAAGTCGTGCCATCGTTCCGAGGCCGATAAAGACGTGGAGGTCAGCGAGTCGAGACTCATCAGTGACCCCGTGGCTTTGATCGTATCCGAATTTGATAGTGCTAACCCGCACGCTGATGACCCGGAATCAAAAATCAAGACAGTCGCAAAAACGTGCTGAGAGTGCGCTTTGAGCAGAAGCTGAGCTGAATGAGATCACAGCTCTAAAGGCCCACAGCACGTTGAAGTTCGTCAAGTGATTGCCAGGTATTGTGCGCTTGCATACCAAGTGAACGTACAAGAAGAAACGAACGGGCATGGGACGGATCGAGCGATACACGGTTCGACTAGTCGCCTGTGTTAGCAAACCAAAGTTCGCCATTAACGTCTTCCTCGGTTTCGTCGCTATGATGACGATGACGGGTGTCAAGTTCATCTTTGCCGTAGCGTTCATATAAGAGGTTCCTGCCAGAGACGGAGACGTTTCAAACGTGTAAGTAAAGCCGACGACGGAGGAGGGCATCGAGATTGAGCTGCTCGTCCCCGATGGACTTGTCATCACGGAGGAGGAGTTCAAGGCACTCAAAGCTAAGAGCGTGGATGAAGTTAAGCTACTTCTCGGTAAGAGTCTATACGGTCTGCAGCATGCTGGGCGCCTCTGGCATATCATTAGCACCGTGTACTGATCAGGTTTGGGTTCATTCAGTGTATTACGGAGGTGGGTCTGTAGCTAAGGCTAAATGTGACGGGCAGTCGTCGGGACTCATGTGAACGACCTACTTGTCACCAGCACGGACGACAGCAGGGTCTCTCAGCTCTTCGCCGACACGACTGTCCTGGAGCTCAAGGATCTCGGTAACCAAAGCAACGCTCTGGGAATGCGCGTGCCGTACGGCGATCTCAGTGGCAATCAGTTCGCCTAAGAACCTACCCCAATCAGTGCATTTAGTGCTTGAGAATCCTTAGTGTGGTGCGTAAATAATATAGCCCGCACTATTTCCGCATTTCGTCCTCCATCGGCAAACTCACACTAATTATACACCCGCAGCAAATGTGTCTTTAACTAGCCACATTACCACTTATAGCGCTTCAACCACGCCGAATTGCATTCTCAAACAGGTGCTGAACGTGGTGTCATAGTGGCAAGCTAGAATGCAGCTCTGACAAAGAAACAATATTGTGGCAGCACACCTTGGCAAGCTCAAACGAGCGTTAGAAAATAGATATTTGGACGAAATAGCTATTTCAGCATGGATGAAGTACATGTTGGCATCTGTGACGGGGTCACACAGCACTTTGTGCTAGAGGAAGTTGGCTTCCGAGAGTATACAAACTCTCAGTGAACGGCAGTTCACAGGCTCCCTTTGCCTAAAGGGAGTGAAGTGACCAATGTAAAAGTAGGTTGTAAACTGAGTTTATTATAGGTAGGCTAAGCCTGAGTTAAATTTACAAACTATAAGTCGCCTATATAAAAACAATGTCATCAGCCAATGGTTGGCCTCGGACGACTCTGGTACCATGTACCAGATATCCCGAAGTATGACGTGTCATACTTCTGAAGTGTGTGACGTGTCACACTTCATGTAACTTGGGGTACACTTAGGACTACGCACCCCGTTACATCCTCCCCCACAAAGGTTCGGCTTACTGACCGATCTGAATAAAGAAGTGTACGTCACAAACTTTTATTTTCAAAGTCGAAATACATCGCCTTGGCTGCGCGAGCGCGGCGGAGGCCCACTTCACATTTAGAGCCTCGAGCAGCGGTTCAGCGCTCTTCTTCTTGGTCTCCACATCGACTGTTATCATGCCCCGTGGCACTGTGAAGAGCGGTGCGAGGACACGCTCCAGGGTTAGTGCCGGAAAGGCGCAAGCCAAGAGCGCTAAGCCTCACGGCAAAGGCTCCGCACTCCAGAAGGATACTAAGGTGGCCTCGGAGGCGATCGGCTCAACTGGTGACGCGGCTGTGAGCAAGCTGCAAGCAAGCGCCGAATTCTGTCACCTTCCGTCTCTTCAGACAATCGGCCGAACCCGCGGGTCGCTGAACATGAGCTCGATTCGGGCAGTGAGGTCCAGGCCGAGTCCGGGAGCAATCACGACGCTTCTGTGCGCTCCGTGGAAGGGCACACCTCGGTGCCCAGCGAGCACGACGACGACAGCGTGCGCACTCTCGATAGTGATCACGGTGATCACAGTCCCAGGACCTCTGTGTTCTCTGAGAGTCCTGCCGCCAAGACTTAAGGACTCTCCCAACGCTGGCGACGACGTGGAGTGGAAACCTTGCAAACATCTCTCACTCGCCGAGGGTCTTGCGCGTGCTAAGGCCGCCAATGCCGCCAAGCCGCTAAGCCCTCCAAGAAGCGCACAGCTTCAAAGTCTTCACTCCGCGAGGAGAAGGAGACTGGGTACTCCTATCGGCACCTCTTCGGTTCCTCGGATGAAGAGGAAGAGGAGGAAGAGGGTGCTATCCCTGAGCCCCGGGAGATCACAACTACCTCAGCCAGCAGCAGGAGGACTTTTAAGTTGCCCAGCGTACGCGTGGGGATCCGTTGGTGGCACCAGTCAGCCAGGGAACTGTCATCAGCTCAAGAGGGTATTGGCCTCCCGAGGGGGGCTCTGGGGCTGACCTCTTACTCGTGATTCTCGTCGCTCCTCGTGGTCTTGTTGGTGGACACACCTCTAAGGGCGTTTGCGAACGTACACTGGTCCAGAGGGATCAGTTGTTTGTCGACAGCTTGGGGGCGGCCCGGTGAGTGCTTCTCGCGCCGCATCGAATCTCTCTTAGCAACTTCAGGACTTTTCGTAAGAAGCCCGAGAACCGAGGTGGTCACTACCCTCGCTGGTGCTATCCCTGGGTTCTTCCCGAGAACTGTCCCAACTGAAACATATGTGAAGACATGTTATGGGCTTGGGTGGAGTCTCTCAACTAAGTTACGTGAGCTTCGTGAAGATCAGCTGCTGTCCCGCATCCTGGACCAGCGTGATCTTCGTGTCCGGTTCGCCCACTTGGTCAGCAAGCTCATGCTGCCAAGGGACATCCTGAAACGCGCGGCTTCTAGCGCTAACGATGAGCGCGGGTATGCCGTGTCGTCAACGTCCGTAGCCGTTCGGGCAAGAAGCCCCGGACTACTTATGAAGCTGGCGCCGCTTCTGTTCCCAGATTGCGACAGTCTCCGGGCAGTCAATTAGGAGCCGTTCAATCGGCTCCCACGAGTTCTCGGAGTGGGCATAACCCCTTCACTTCACGAGGAGCCGTCGCTTACCGCGACGCCGTTGCTCATGGAGAATCCGCTCCCCGTGGTAGTAGACTTCTCCGTTCCGGTCAAGCAGGGGAGGAGGTGCCCTCGTACGAGTACGAGAACTCGGCGCCTCCGGAACGCTACCTCGTCCGAGTGCTTCTCCTTCGGGTCCGACGCAGGGCCCTGGGGTTGACCGCCTTCGCCAACGCGTCCGAGTGCTTCTCCTGCAGGTCCGACGCAGGGCCCTGAGGTTGAACGCCTTCGTCAACGCGTCCTCGTGCTTGAGACTGCACTTGGCCTTGGGACTGGCGGGGATGCTGCCGCCCAGACCGGTAATCAGGGCGTTCTCGCTCGTCTTACGGGCCGCCTGGACCTGTTGGAGCGTGAGGTCTCGAGCCTGCATCTGCGGGTAAACCGGCAGGCCTCTTCATCCGCTCTTGACGGGGCCTTCCGGATGATCCGACGAATCGAGACTCTGCTGCCACGTCCGGAGCCGCATTCGGCGCTCTCCCAGCCGTACGCGTATGGTGCGTACCCGACGTACTCAGCGTGTGGCTCCGAAGTCCGTTCGTACGGGGCCCCTCCTGCGTACGGTCTTGACCGCAGCCTTGCTGTTCCGACCGAGGCTTAGGTACCTGCTCCGACGCCCTCGTCGACGTCTGTGGCCGGCCCTCGCTTCGAGGAGCTCGGCCAAGGTGGATCTGCGAGTTAGCAACTCCCTGCGGCTCATAGTACCGCTTAAGACGTCCAACGTAAAACGTCGGGTGCGTCGTCATTGACTTAGGCCAGGTCGAAGGTGTACGACGCACCATGCCTGGCCAGGACTGTGAATGGTCCAATGAAGCGGTGCTTCCGCTTGTTGCTGCCGACAGAGCTGACAGTGTCTAGCGGTAGGCTTCTCGTGTATAATAGCACTAAGTCTCCCACCTTAAAAACACGTAGGTCTCCTCTTCCACGTTTGTCAGAGTACTCCTTTGTCTGTCCTTGGCCGCTGCCATGGCATCGCGGACCCTGCTGATAACGCTCAGCTTGGAATTCACAAAGGATTCCACTTGTTTCCGCGGCGAAACTGGTTTCACATCTGAGACCTGTGAGGAAAGAGCTTTCCGAGCCTCTCCCCACTCAGAATAGAGGATGCAGTGTCTCCCCAAAGAGTGAGAGGCGCTCTGGGGCGACAGAAGCCGTTCAAGTAGAATGGCGTGAACCCCGTGGACGCGTGCACTGCGCTGTTGAGCGCAAACTCAACAACTGGAAGCTGCGTCGACCATGTATGTGGTACTTCCGCGCACACACTGCGCAGAGTGTCCTCGAGCACTCAATTGACGCGCTCCGTCTGACCGTCTGTCTGTGGATGGTCCGCTGTGGACATCTGCAGACGAGTTCCTAGTAAAGGAAACAGCGTATTCCAAAAGGCAGCCGTGAACCTCGGGTCTCGGTCCGAGACAATCGTCTCCGGGGGACCGTGATAGCGGAACACGCCATCGACGAACAACCTCGCGGTTTGTTCGTCTGTGACGGTAACGGGTACTGGATCAAGATGTTCCATCTTGCTCAGCCGACACACGAACACCAAAATTCCGGTGTTGCCGTGTCCGTCGGCGGGAAGACCAAAGATGAAGTCAAGACTCATCGACTTCCAACAATCAGCCGGTACGGGCAGGCTCTGTAGTGGAGCCGAAGAGTGCCCTGCGTGTTTGACCCGCTGACATGTTTCGCATGTCTTGACGTACCGGGCGACCCACTTGTACATGTGGGTCCACCAGAAGGACTGAGAGACCGACAAAAAGGTCTTCTCGCGGCCCAAGTGACCGCTGGAGGGCGCGTCATGCGCCTCCGCGAGGATGTCGAACTTCAGATCCTCGTCGTTGGGTACGACCACCCGTGGAGGATCAGTGGGCTCCACCCGGTAATAGAGGAGGCCCTCCTTTAACTCATATCGGTGGAGCCGTGAGCGCTGTCGCGACGAGAGCCAGTCGGACTTCGCGCTCGTTCCTGCTGCGAGGAGCTTGACGATAGTCGCGACAGCCTCATCGTCCCGATACGTCATGCGTATCCGATCATATAGATCCGTTGTCACCCGGGTGGTGTGGGCCAACTCGTAGTCTGGACGCCGGGAGAGGACGTCCGCAAGCATGTTGAGCTTGCCCGTCTTGTACTCGACGCGGAAGTTGTACTCAGCGAAGAAGGACAGCCACCTCGCCATCCGTTGGGAGAGGTGAGGCGAGTTAGTCGCCGTCCTCAAGGATGTGTGGTCTGTGTAGATCACGAAGGGCCTAGAGCGCAGAAGGTGAACACGAAACTTCACAAGGGCATACTTCATTGTCAGGAGCTCCTTGTCATGGACAGGGTAGTTCCGTTCGGCGGCTTTGAGCTGCCTGGACTGGAACGAGATACTTTGTGCATGTCCAGCCGTGTCGGCATGCAGCAGTGCACATCCGATGGCATAGCGGAGGCATCGCAGACGACGCTAAACGGCTTCATCTTGTCGGGCAGGGCCAAGACAGGGGCCTCTTGGAGACTGGCCTTGATGCTGCTCAAGGCATCCTGGTGCTATTGCTCCCAGCGCCAGTAAGCGTCCTGCTGAAGGAGGCCCGACAAGGGCTTAGCGAAGCCTGCGTCCCCCGCGCTCTACTTAAGAAGGTAGTTGGCCAAGCCCAACCACTTTCGAAGATCCTTTTGGGATC